GCGTATATCAACAACATTTCAGAGACGCAGGACATTGGCTGCTGTGGTTCCCCTGCTTTACCTGTGGCAGGTATAGGTGTGAGGTCTGCGTTGTGTCAGGGCTGAGGGCAGTTTTATGTAGAGTTTAGATTATGGTTTGCCTGGGATGGTTTGGACAGGGCTGATCCTATCTTAGGCAGGGAGTTGAACTAGATGACCTTCCAGCCTCACTTTTCTATGACACTATGACACCAGGGGTTTGCTCATGTCAGGACCAAATGGACAAGTAGTCTGATACCACTGGAAATAAGTTTTATGACTTGAGAGTACTAAAGGCAAGTTAATCAAAGATGTTTCTGGTGCTAAGTGCAAGCAAAGAAAACAAAGAATGATTTGGGAGACCAGCTTAGAGAAGAGGGGATTGCGAGCTATTGGGACACTGAAATATTTCATAATGAGAGAACACTGCTCGAATATGATTGTCTCCACCAAAGAGATCAACATCCTGGCTTTAGAATTGGCCTTACGCTAGGAAGAAGAGGAGCTTTTATTTAATCCCTAAAACTTTGTCTGCATCTCTGACTGATCACTTGGCATAACCATGTCACAGGTCTTTCGCCATGGAGGACTCTTTACCCTGGAATTCAGTATCTGCAGTCCCAGTTTAACAAAATGATCTTTTGAGCTTGCTACAAAACCCATCTGCTTGAGTAAACAGCCAAGGCAGGCTGCATTTGGGGCACATGAAAAGTCCAAGCTTTTGAACTGTAACCTGCTGGCTGGTGGAAAGCAAACAGCCACTACAGACCACACACATTTTTCTTTTTATCTTTAGTCCTCGGCAAGAATGTAGCCCAGGAGATGTCCATCCCATGTCCATACATAAAGTAAACAGTTCTTAATTATGCAGAAAACTTTACGATCCAGAAAGCCACCCCAGATGCTATAACAGACTACCACTTCTCTGGAAGAGTGGCAAGGAAAACAAGTAGACTTCAGCATTGATTCAAAGGGTTCCTCAAAGACTTGAAGATTACGAGTAATCATACCATAAATTATATCAGTGAAGGCTGCAGTAAGAGGGTAGCAAAACCAGCATACGAATGATGTGTTACCGAGGTCTTGGGGGACTAAGAACTTTTACAGGTATTTGCGACAAAACAGGACCTACTATTAAAAGAGATGGGGAATTCCTGAGGACTCCAAAAGTACCGAGAGAAACATTTCAAACTATTTTCTTTAACACAATAATGCCCAATAAAGCATGAATAATCTGAATATATGTGGATAACACTGTATGGACAATCTTCAACCTGGAGTATTAGGTAGCTACATAAGGGCTGCGCTGGAGGGAATTTGGAGAAAAAGATGAGCTCAGGGCACCAGAAGGACTAAAATGTGAAGGAAGACTAACATAGCTAAATGTGCGCATGCTTGGCTAGACTACAACCAAGGAGGAAGGCAGAAGAACAATGAGAGAGTCACCTACATTTTTTTTTTTTATTTGAGGTGCTCATGTACTAGGAAGGAGGACTAGCTCTCAAAAGAAGAACATAGAAGACTAGCTCTGCCTATTGCTTCGTTGCATTGGCGACTCATATTCATCCTGGAGTCAATCCTGACTCCAAGATCTCTCTCTGCCTCTGTGCTGCCGAGAGGGGCAGCCCCTAACCTATAACCATAATGCTGGTTCCCTCTCCCCAGGTGCAGCACCCTGCACTCGTCCTTGATGAACCGCATCCTGTTCAGATCCGCCCACTTCTCCA